TAAAAGTAAATCAAAAGAGAATTTATAGTAAATAAGTAGGCAAATTTGCCTCAAAACAATACGATTTAAGGGATAAGATATAAAATTTCAAATTCAATAATTAATCATAGTATTCAATAAAAATCTTAACAATAACTATTGCATCTTATTCAACATCCAATCAGATTCTAATAATTATAGAACAGATGTTAGATTAATTTTAAAGAAAAAATTTACTAATCACATATATTACTACCCTATAAATAATCTGTATAAGAGAGATAATACATTTAAAAAATGTATAATATACATAAAAAAATAGTATAATAAATTTGTAAATAATTTTATATGTCTAATCAGTATATTGTATAAGTTATTTTTGGTTAGTATTTTCATATATTAGATATTAAAAATCGTTCTTTTCTGTATTTAGAAAAATACAAAATTATATGTCTAATTCAGTATATTGTATACATTAGATTTTTTACATCTATTCAGTATATTGTATACGCTATTTTTGGTTAAATTTTATATGTCTAATCAGTATATTGTATACATAATTTTGCATAGATTTTTACATTTATTCAATATATTGCATTTGTTATTTTTGATTGGATTTTTTACATTTATTTAATATTTTATATATGTTATTTTTGTTGGATTTTATATATATCAGTATATTATATATGGGAGGTTTACTAGAAAAATGGGGCTCTGAACATTTTTTATTAAAATTTTAATTTTTATCGCATTTTAATCTAATATTATCAAACATTAAAATGCAATAAAAATTAATATTTTAATAAAAATTACTCAGAGCCCCATTTTCCTAGCAAACCTCCCATATGATAAGATTTTTTTCCTGATTAATTCGAAACAATCCACCTACACAATTTGTAAAAATCAATGTACTGTTATCAATACCTTTGAAAAAGCAAATAATATTTCTCTCAAACGAAAGAAGAATAATTGGCATTCCACTGAATTTTTAAAAACACCCTCTATTGTTATCCCATCACAATTTGATAATGCTTTTCATTATGGCTTCTCCTGGTTGGATTTTTGGATTGGTAGTGACTGGGCTCTTTCCCTGGATTATTAAGGTTATTTGTATTTATAGGTAATTAGTCTAGGAATGTGCAAGGTCAGTTTTGATTTAGTTTAGTCTTTTAGAAATTTTCATTTTTTCATTAGTACTTTGTATAAATTTATTATTTCAATGAAACTACCACACGTTTTTAAAAAAAAAATACAAGTTAATTGAAAAATGTTATATACATTGCAAAAATATTATAAATGCTAACATTCTTTTATGACTGGACCCTTCTGATTTACATCATTTGACAAATTTGACTTGAACTTAAATTATAGATCCATTACTAATATGAACAGTCAGATCTACATGACTAGATACCATTTTACGAATTTATCTAATGCAGTATACAGTTGCAAATCGGTAATCTTCCTTGATCTCTTCTAAGAAGGCATTAATTTGAAGTTATTGATTTCTTCAACCTTGTTATTCAGTTCTCTATAAGATAGAACAAAGTGTTTTTAATGTAATTGTAATATTATTAAATTAACAAACCTATACTCATTATTTACTACTCCTTTTGTTTGTTCTGTTTGTAAACTTCTCCAATCTTGTAAAGAAAGTTCTGTATATTCTGATACAACTGATCCTGCAAAGCGGGTTCTAAATGCAACAATGCATAAAAAATAATTGATATTTTGTGACATATCTTAAAGAAAAAAAATGATGTTAATCTTTATATATTGATTATATATATGCCATAAATGCTGTCTTACCAAGTGCAATATAGCAAAAAGTTGAAATTTACAATATGGAACTTAATTGCAACAGCCTTTTGTTGCTTACAATGAGCATCTGACATTCTAACAGGACAGGTACTGTGTAAACAAGGGAAGACAAATACTCATTCTCCAAACATTTTCCAATTCATATATGACTGAAATGTCTATGTGAAAAGCCAAGTAAACGCTGTTTGTAAAACATTTTATATAATTAGTATTATATTGTTATTAATCAACTTTCATTGGCTTTCAAAGATTCTATTAACATTTAACCTTTAGTTTTCAGAAAACTATCAATAATACTGATTATTTTAGACTAATCATAAAAATGTAAATCAGTTATTAAATAATTTAGGCAAAATTAATAAATAAAATGTAAGTATTCTTAATGCATTTTGTAATTACCTATCTATACTTTCATAATAAATATATAAGGTTTTTAGAGAATCAGATGGTGAAGAAGCGATTCAGACTGCTTTGGTCAGAATGATTGCTAATGGATTTAGCAAATATTCTTTGTGGTAATTTTTCATATGTTATTTCCTAAAAATATAAAGAAATATAAGAAAAATAGTAATCATCTATTAATCAATTGTTTGCTTATTTGCCTTCTTATAAAAAAAATTTATTCACATCTTTCTTTCCATATTTTGGAGGTGAAGACGAAGATATAATGGAAAATATGAGATAATAGTGAAGTGGTAATAGAGGCATTATTGAGATTGAATCAAGTTGAACAGATCAGATGGGACTATGCCTTTTATAAGGTCGATTAGTTGTATCATGGTTGATTTAGAAGCTGTAATTAGTATTGACTAGGGCGAGAAATGAATGTGAATAAGTCCAAATGTGATTAAAGTCTTCAAATGTGATTTGACATCTGCAACAAGTCCAATTTTGTTGATATAAATTGGGTTTTTTTCTTTAGAACCTCCAAAGAAGAGACATTTCTAACATGAATCTGATTTTTTTTTTTTTTTGTATATTATGCTTGGTATGATGTGATGTACACGAATTTGCTTCGTTATCATGTAGTAATTGAAACAATTAACCTTCAAAGGGCAATATTTGTAAAAGGGTGGAAGGTTGGTGACATTATTAAAACGTTTTGATTGGAGAAGTTCTTTGATGAATTGTCTTGAAGGTAGTAAAATAGGCATATCTTGAAAGTAAGGGATTATAGTAGAATTAAGGGTATTGAATTTAAAATATAATTTGTGTCAACTATATTGCTAAAGGGGTCATCACTATGTGCTTTAACTTTGTTCACTGTTAGAGTAATCTGTTTAGTATTGATTAAGTCAAATATATTGTGCCAGAGAGGACATTAGAGTAGTTTAAGAATAGGATTAAGTGTTGGTGAAGAAAACAAAAGGAATTATGTTTTGTTGAAGTCATAATGACAGAAGAGGAGTCAGTGAATATAGAAATACATGAACATGGGGGAACTACAATTAGAGTGGTAATAACAGCCATTAATTCAGCTAAAGTGGATGAAGGATTGTGAAGGTAAAAGGAAGAATGAAAAGAAATTGATGGTCATTGGGGATTAGTTTGCAACTAAGCTAAGCCCATCTGGACAGTTGAGAGACCAAGGTTTCGAAGAGAGCCATCTGTATAGAAAGAAAGAGTAGTTGCATTGATGAAGTTAGAGGCTAAATTAGTTAGTTGATTCATTGTATCATTATCAAAAATTGAATTAGTATTAGGAAAATCTATAGAAGGTGGAAGTAAAAAATAGTTATTGGATGGAATTTCTGAACATTAAAGTAAAGGATTTTTAAAACATAAAGATCGTCTTCAAGGCATCTTTTTGTATAAACATCCAAAACAGATATCAAGAATAGTTCTACATTGATCATCTATTGTCATTGTAAAGTGTTGAATATGTGCGATTTCTTGGTCAATTACAAGGATTCTTTCAGTAGTTGAATTGTTTAAGTGAGATGACCAGATTATAGCATAAGTAGGTCGTTTGTTACTAACTGTTGGTATATTTTGAGTAACATAAAGGGGTGTTCAATTTGAAGAACAGGATGAATAGTATATGTTTGTTGATCAGTCAATACAGTAGATTCTATGGTATTAAACCATTTTGGTCTTTTCTTTAATTTAGAAAATCTTAAGTTTTGAGAAATATCTCGAAAAAGAATAAGTATTTTCCATTTGATGAGTAGAAAGAAGCATGGCATCACTCTCTAGCTAGTTGGCTGGTATTGTGTTAAATGCTTTTAATTATGGCAATCATCTTGGTAATGTGGATGGGCAGGTTACTATTATTGATGAAGGTCTTGGGCATAGAAATTTTAAACATATTGACGATCAGTAATTGCTACTTATGTTGAAGAACATGATCAAACTGCATTTTTAGACATTGAAGAGAAAACATTTAATTGGATTGATCATCATTCACAAATTTGTAAATACTCTGTTGATTTTTACAACTGTGAGGATAGAAGTTGCTGTAAACCACCACGATCTCCTGATATCTATGAATTTTTATCACTAAATAATGATTTTCTTTCTCCTGTTGTGCAAAGTTGGGATGAGCATTTTCTTAGTTTATTGCATATATTGGAATATTTCAGTGATCAATTTCCTGGTTTTGATGAGCATTGTCCAAGCATTCCACCTGAGATGTATCATTAGTTTGTATGTCAAAAATGTAACAAATATTTTCCAACAAAAGCTTTTATAAAAAAAAGCATGTCAAAGACTATGCATCCAAGTGGAAGAGGAAGAGTAGGAAGAGTTGCATGAGTAATACAAGAGCAATCTATGGAAGTAGATAATAGAGATAAAAGGCAAACCTTAAGTGGTGGTGGACATGGAAAGGGTAGAATAAAAATTTGCAGCCTTGGGAGCAAAATCATCTTACATTTCAAATATAATGTTAAGCCCACATCATGATTTTAAATAAAAACGCAAATTTTTATCTGATTTGATAAACATAATTAACAAATTCATTTTATATTCTGTTACATTATTTTATTTAATTAATTTAAACTTTTATAAATCACAGTTGAATTAGAAAATAAAATTGATTGTAGAACACGTTTTGCATAAGCATATCACAAGATCAATACTTTTGCCGCAGACATGCAAAATTAATAAAATTAACAAGGTACGTGATTAAGTCTTAATTGATTAGATTACAAGGGGACTCAGTGCTTACCTACCAAATCTGCTGCTAAACTTCTTAATGAATGGAGGATGATGATGGCCATAAAGATGAAGAACCATACCATGCAGGAATCATTGTAGATGATAATGAAATTCTACACCTCTCAAAAGAAAATAACATTCTCAAAGAAAATCTTGAGCTTAATGTCAAGAAACTTAACTTCGCTCTTCAGGTGGTACTATACAATCAATAATACAAACAATGATGGTCAGACCGCACAAAATAGTCCTCTTATTAATCTCAACAATGATAATAATTTCACAACTTTAAATATTGCCACTCATCATTTAATAATAACTTCAAACAAAACTAATTTTACTTCTACATTCCTTTCTTCGAACATAAACAATCATCACAAGTAGGATTAGGTGTCATTGCAAACCACATTTATAAACATGCCAGTAACCTAGGAAGGTATATATATGTAGATTTACAATTCCCAGCCCTATTTAAAATTAGAATTATTAATGTTTACTTATCAAGTACTAATACACAATTGTTATTCGATAAGCTTTAACAGGTGACTTTAATACTGAACCAAACCAACCTACCAATCCTTCAAAAACAAAAGAAATTTTCACTCCTACATTTTTAACTCATGTGACCTATTTCATAATAATGCTAATATTTCTCATCCCATTTACCATCGCATCCCTATTTCCAATGCTTTTATATAGCATCAGATATCATAGAAGTAGATCCACAATATACTGACCACTTTATTGTTACCACTAAGATATCAGAAATGACATATAGATCAATCTCTTCTAAAGCAATTAAAAAACTCGTTTTTTTATATTATAATGTAAATGAACAACAATGGATTACCTTTTCACAAAAAATGAAAGATCTTATGAACTCCTGTCACCTCAAACTGTATTATTATTAAAACTGCAGAGAAAACAATTCTGCATAAATTATCTGCCAACCTACTCATGACTTCCAACCAAAATCGCTAAAAGTGAATACCAACAACTCACTAATTGACTTTGACCATTACCTAGATAATTCACTAGCAAACCTTGGTTTACTCACATCAGCAGAAGATGTTAAAAAAGAAACGGCTTGACATTTTCAACATGCCGCTGAACCTCAAAATGCTCCTTCTGCTATACCAGATGATTGGAAGGACTTTTATGACCCTCTAAGTGATATTGATTCCTCCATTTATAAAGATCTTATGAGTGAACCAACAGAAGAGGAATGATCATATATAATAAAATCACTTCCAAATGACAAGGCCTGTAGTCCTTCAAAAATTTCAAATGAACTCTTGGCCCTGATATGAAAAAAGCCTTTTGGACATTTATATGTGACTGTTTAAATTTATCGCTCACACCTGATGCATGGAATCTAGCCTATGTGTATCACATTGCTAAACAAAAATCCTGAGAATTTAACCTAAACAACACAAGACCTATATCTATGTTAGAATGCCCAAGAAAAGCATTGGTTAAACTTATCAACCAAAGACTTTTATCTATTTTATCTACCAACAGAGTGTAAAAGGTAATAACTTTGCAGGTTTACCCTTTCGCTTCACCTTCAAACCAAAACACATTCTTGACAATCTTATATATGATCACCATCATCAAAGTTATGAATAGCTTTGGTTCATTTTCCAAGATATGTCAAAAGCATTGACCGTGTAAATATCAAAAAGCTCTCAAGCATCTTCACCTTCCTCCTGCTTTCTGCAATTTTATTCGATCTTTATTTTCTTGTTTTAATCAAGTATTTACAGCATATGGTAATACGAACGAATATTTTCCCTATCCTTTGGTGCCTAAAATCCTATACACATTCTAATTTAATTGATATGCTACCAACAATGTCTGAAATTCATGTTCATTGTTTGGCATATATGAACAATACTCTTTGGCTGCGCAAAACAAAAGCTGACCTTAATGAAATTATTTTAATTGCAGACAGTTTTTAAAACTTGAATGATATTAAAGTCAACTGGGATAAATCTAGCTACAACCAAACAATCCTAAAATAGGTAATACAAAAAGGTGTGGAGTCCTGTGGAGGTGATAAGTGGTATACAGTGATGTTTATTATGATCACGTGACATTTGTATAAAGCATACTCAAGTTACATATACTACCTCCAGCCCACATTATTATAATTTTGGCCGGTTAATCTTATTCTTCACTTAGTAAATGTCACATGAGGTAATGTACACCACTCATCATCTTCATGGCATGGGACTCCACACCTTTTCGTATCACTCTCCTAAAATCCCAGTCTGTTATTTAGGTATCTGAATCTCAATTTTACAGAACAAGAAATTTATCTACCAACAAGTAAAAGATGAAAATTTCACGTCCACCACAACTATGAAAAAGGAAAGACGTCATCATCCCAAGAATTCTGTATAAAATACTTAACTTCTCAATTCTGTGAAATGGTCATAACTACTTATTAAAAGATTTTTAAATCGAATGATATGAAAAGGTGTGGAGTTCTGTGAGGATGATAAGTGGTATACATCAGGTGATATGAAAAGATGTGGAGTCCCATGAAGATGATGAGTGGAGTGATACAAAAAGGACTCCACACCCATCGATCAAATGAGTGATGTATGATCATGTGAAATGAGTTTACACAAATATATAATTTGTGAAACTACTATTGTGTAATATCAAAAGATCATTGTAATACATGATAATCTAATCTGCATAATAAAGAGCAACAAAAAAATTTCTTGCATCAAAATACATTTACTGAATTTTTTCACGTCTCTCCAAATAAACATGTCTACGAATACTAATTTTATTAATGAAACGATATTATTTATGAAGAGAACTTTGAGGCTTGTTATTTTATATAATTTATATTTATAAGTAAAGTAAAATATACAATATTAAAAAAAAATTATATATTAACTAGCCAAATAAAACATCTTTACCTGAGCTGGAAGAGGATGCTGAAGTATATTTCATTACCAAAAATACAAGTGTTAAAATGATAATTCATTTATTGACTCCTATTAAATATCCACTAACAAGTCAAGAAGGAGTTGTGATTATTTATCATGTTGAAGGATGGTATAATGTAGAAGCTGTATTTACAGATGTAAAAATTAAATAATTTTATTATAAATAAAAAATAAAATAATATAATAATTAATTTCATTTTTTTTTAGATCCAATATTCTATGGGAAAACCTTGTGGTCAACATAATTCAACTTGCATTTATCTTGGTAATATTGGTGTAGTTAGGAAAGAAAGAACATGTTAAGGAGTTAAATTATGTGCATTTGCAACTCCAGAACTTTTGGAAATTAAGCACGAGATAGTAAATCCTGAATCAGATTTGTGTTTAAAAGTAAATAATGAAGTATCAGTTAATAACATAAAAAATAATACTTTTGTGTAAGTAAAGTTATATAATATGTTATATAATATACAATTAATTATATATAAAAATTTATATTATTTTTATTTTATTTATATAGTGTATATTTTTGGCAGCATCTAAAATGGAATGCAATGTATTGGAAAACCTATTTAAAATGTTTATGACATCATGATGACACAATTTCGGTAACTTATTTTATTAGTTATACAGGATAGATTAATGAAAAATTTCATCGCTATATTGATATCAAAGAAAAGTTTGATCTTAATTTGCTTTATCAACTTTTAGATGGATTATATAAGGTTAATTATTAATTATAATTATTGTATTAAAATTTTTATTTTTGATTATTTTATTTAATTTAAATTATTAGGGTTAATTGAATGAACCTGTTTTACAGTATTGCATAATAGCTCAAAAAACACTTGTTATAAGGTGACACAAAGTGGTAAAAATGATTTTCATATCTGAAATCAAATTTGTGTAACCGGCTACCCAGATTTTTATTTTTAAAATAAAAGATTTTTTACCTAATAAACTTAATATTTTAGAGCTTCGCAACCCAGCTACATGCTCAGATTTTCATATATTTGTTACTGTGCACTATTTTAATTTGTGGTATTAACGTCAGTTTTTGTGTTGCTTAAATCAAGCAGTATATTTAATTTATTATATATGTATAGCAAATATATAGAGTGTATAAATAAAATAAATAAACTATTAATTAAAAATAAAGTTTAATTCCATTAGTATATACAATCAGGCACAAATAAATGATCTACAAAAATATAAACTTAATAAAATTCAACAATTCAACAATAAAGAAAAATAAGTGTATATTAACTTAAATTTTATTATCAATATTATTTCTGAAGAAAAATTCTTGCGAACTTTTGTTAAATTGACCTATGCTACTTTTATACAAAAATTTAATCATATAAGTTTATTGAATAAATTAAATATATTAAACATATACACTTTATACAATAAATTAAATAAGTTATATTTATACTATATATCAATTTTATCAAATAAATGCACTAAATTAAATATATTAACTTATACTATATATAGAAGCTTATCAATAGAAAGGTTTATAAGTTAAAGTTAAATCTGAACTTATTTTACTAAAAAAAATTATATTTAGCATATGAAGTAAAATTTTGATTTTGTTTAGATTTCTCTCTTTTCTATTGACAAGCTTCCATATGTGTTATGTGGGACATGTTCGATATATTTGATATTCACAATATAATCGGCAATCACTTGATAGGTTAGAATTCACATCTTGTCTTGGACTAGCATAACAATAGTATTTTATTATTTGCCATAGAAGAAATCCTTTGCACATAATATACTGTATATATTATGCCAATATTTAAATATTCAATAAATTTATAAATCGAAAGAATGTATGAATTTGTTTATTGCTGAATTTATAAATAATTTATTAATCTATAAATTTTGTTAAATTTAAACATTTAATAATTGTTAATAAATCCTGCTTCATTAACTAAACCAAGTAATAAAACTAGTTTTATCTTTCTTTTATGTTGCGCCTCTGAAATAAAACTAGTTTTGTTAACTTTCCTTTACTTAATTGAGTAAAATATGCTTCGCTGATTTTCCTTTTATGACTGCACCCCTGATTAAATAAAATTAGTAAAAATCGCGTCAGAATATAAAACTTTTCGCGAACCTTTTTTTTCTGAATTTCAGCAAAATGCCATTTGCAAATATTTGCATATCTAAAGGGTCATGAGTTCTTCATGGATAGTACATCCATCCTATTTCTTATGAAATGATAATAAAGGATTTCTTTGTAAAGCTTGTATTAACTAAAGAATTATCCTCTAAATGCGGTATTTAATACAGCAGCTTCTGAAGTAATTAAACACGTTGAGTTAAGTGAGATACCTGTATCAGCTGCAACTTAAGTTAGTCTTGACTGTAGTATCATAGAACTTACATCAAGCATAGGTGTACATATACATTATCAGCTCAAAAATGATACCAGAATAATTCCTGATTTGGTATCACAATAGAACAGCTTCATTATTATGATGCAAAATGCACATATAGCCTGCCAGTTGTACTTGTCGAACTTCTTACAGTCAGGAAAAGCAAATTGCAAACAAATATTATGTTGTAATCTTGTTGATTAGATTCACCTTCATAATGGAGAATGGTCTACTCAATCACTTGCTGATACACAAGACAAGCAATTTATTGTTAACTTGGTTGAAATAATTTGGTACATTGACTTGAAAACTCAAAGAGCGTAGTTATCACATACCTGAGGTTTTCGGCTGTGCAGCTCCAGAATCATACAAGCAATAACAAAAATCCTTTAATGCAAATAAACTCAATTTGCATTGTCAAGCTCTTGCACCATATGCTACATTATCATGGATGCTAAGGGCGAATTTTGATTGGCTTAGTGATGCATTTGACGGTTTCATTATTACTATTTTGAGTTATGTTGGAGTTCTGCAACGCTAACGTGATATTACTGCTAAAAATCATCTTTAGAAACTCCTGTGTGATCCATTGGCAAAGCTGTTACAGTCAAAGTCCATAAGAAAATATTTGGGTAACACCTGTTGACAAAATTAATATAATCATCTTAAAAACATGCTTATTGATTTGCCATCATGGAAACCAGTTGATATTGAAGAATATCTACCAAATGATCCAATGTAAGTAGATAGAATGGAATTAACATTGTTAATGATTGTTAATATATAATAATGAAAAATTTGTATTTATAGGCAAAAAATGCGCTATATTCAGGGTTATCTCATGTATTTTCATTCAAAATTGGAGAATACCACTCTGAAAATAACTCTTAATACAATTTCTATATGGAAAATTGATGAACAAGCTTATAAAATGATAACTTTATAAGAGAACACCTGTATTGTGAGTGAATTGCAAGCCGACACGCCTCATTATCATACAAGAGCAAGCAAATAAATGGGAGCTGATCTATTAAAAATGGGTTATGGGACTAGTAAATTTATTTTGAGTAATTGATGATCAAAAAATAGTTACGTCACAATAAACATACTTAGCCAATAAAAAATTGCACTAAAAATAATATTGAGTCTAATCAATTAATAAGGCGATACTTTAATTTTATATATATAACATTTATTATAACTAGGTAACAGAGACCTTTAGAGCGTCCAAAGCGTAAGATCATCAGTGATACAAGTTTAACAATATAACAGTAAAATGTAACAATAAATAACGATTCTTTTCTTTTAATCAATGAAGAGCACAAGCAACTTTAGTACGATGAACAGTAAAATTCTTAAAAGTTAAACCATTTACAGGTTGGCTTTGTATAACAAGAACATCAAACGAAGAAGGATTTTGAGGAAGGCGCGACACAAATTCTAACATGTCCTGTGAAAAATTAATTACATTACCACGGTACGCATATTGACCTCCACGAAGGCAATAGACAGAAACAATAGGAAAAATCTGTGTGATCAATATTTTTTCTATCTCGGTAAGTCCTTGTAAAACATCTGATACATCACCTGGATCCATGTTATTTATAGCAGAAAACTTTTTTAACAGATTGTTGTCTTCATAACAATGACGACATACTCCACACACAAAATCGATAGATGGGAATCATTCATTACATATAGGGCAAAGATGATTCTTAAGACTATTAATCTTAGAGCAAAAGTTTTGTAAGAGTTTTCGATCTGATTCAGAAAGACGACATTCATCAATATTTTGGGTCTGGTCCTCCCTCATCCTGACAGTTTAAACGCTCATCAATATGTTTTAAACTTATTTTTTTATTTGCTTTCATTACGAATTTTACTTAATCGTTTTTCACGCTGATCTGCAGTTTTTGCAGCCCTTTTAATATGTTTATTTTCTCTATCATAGAGGCATAAAGAGCTTCACATTGATCAGATTTTTCATTATCTCTGCTTTTACATTTTCGAGATAATGAAATTTATAATGGACAAGCAATTACGGTAATTTTTTTTTATTATACAATTTACAAATTCCTTATTTACAATTAAAGTATGTCAATAAAAACTACGCTTCAAACAATAACTTTAATTAATTATTAATTATGATAATATTAAAAATTAATTGTTGCTAAATGATAAAGTTTTTTTTATTTTCATTGTATAAAAATAATTATTGTATTCAAAAAAGGAAATTTTAACAATAGCTTATTACTGATAAAATTCACGTGATTTATTATGTACACGTGACCAATTTTCTAGAATTTTACACATGATTTATTATTTGGGAAGTTTGCTAGGAAAATGGGGTTCTGAGACATTTTTTAAAAAATTGAAATTTTTGATACATATTAATTTATAACTTATAAACTTTAATTGGTTAAAATTTT